TGTGTCTCTATGCCCATACCCCCACCCCCAGTTTGTCTCTATGGAGTTTCAGTGAGCTCTCCATATGTCGCAGCACCCCCCAACATCTCTCTATGGTCCTTAGGTGTCTCTCTCTGTCCCCCCAGTGTCCGTATCCTGAAGGCCCCAGGGTGGTGGTGCCGTGCACGAGGTAGATGCCGGGCCCGGGCAGCAGCGGCGGCGGCAGCTCCCGGAGGAGCTGGGCGGCGATGCCGGGTGAGGGGACCCGGCCGGGTCCCGGGAGGCTGCGAGCCCCGAGAGGAGGGAACGGGACGACAGCGAAACCTCTACCGGCACCACGCTCGCCAGCGGCATCTTGAAACACGGCCGCCGTGACGGCGAGGACATGTCTGGACAGGAGGAGGGGGTACGAGCGCTGCCCGGGGCCATGGAGCAGACCGCTTTCTCTTCAGTACCGAGACTTCAGTACCGACACACGCCGGCAGCAGCGAGCGGCGCCCGGAGCCACTCCCACCCCTCCCTATCTTTACCACCTGCAGTACCACGTTTGGACACATGGTGGCAGCACACGCTCACTTTTTCGACACCGCAGAGGCGACGGGCTCCGAAACTCCCGCTCCCCGCCCAGTTCCCATCCTCCGGGGAGTGCTCCTTGGAGCAGTTTTGGGTGAGGGTTTTTTCCCGTTTTGTTTGTTTCTTTTTGCTTCGGGGGGGGGGAATAAAAGCGGGAGTGTGGGGAATCTGGGGACGGATGGTGTCGTTTGGGGTACCCCAGTGTCACCGGTCGGGGGAGCGATGATTCGGCAGAGGAGCAGGTGAGTAGAGGATTGGGGCGGGACCGCTGAAAAGAGGGCAGGTTTGGGGCTGATTCCCCCCAAAAAGCCCTTTCTATGACGGGCTGTGCTTGTGGAGCCGGAGCCGCTGTGGTGGCCCCAAAATACTCCAAACCCCTTGATTCTGGGTCTGCAAGGGTTGAGGCAGCGGGGGATGGTGGAGAGGATACCCCCGCAAAACTGGGTGCAGCAGGTGGAGGAGTGCGCGGTGGGACACCAGGCACCGCTCGCTGCTGCCGCCCTGTGTCCAGAGCTCGGTACTGCAGCCCGGGCTCCGCGCATTGGCCGTGGCGCTCGCTTTGTCCCCGCTGCTGTCTCCGGTAGTGGCCGGTGCAGCGGCGTTGCTGCTGGCTCCCGGTGAGCAGTGGCACCCCAATGTCGGCGGGGGCGCGGGGTGCTCGTGGCCGCATCGCGGTGTCCGCGCACCCGTTCCGCTCCCTCCGCGCGCCGTTTCGGTGTCGCATGGGCAGCTCCCGGGAGCAGCATGGCTGCGGGCAGGGTTCTGGTCCCGGCAGCGGCGGCAGCAGGTGAGAGCCGAGCCCACCGGGGGTCCGGGGTTACTGGGGAGGGGATCGAGCCCGCCCGCCCGTCCCTTGGGTGGGCGCAGAGGGGTGTCTCCTGCCCGCTGGCCGCCCGGCGCAGGAAGCCTCACAGGGTTGCGGTCTGCCTGAGACGGGCCGGGTCAGGAGCCCCCAGGGCGCTTGATTCTGCCTTCATCTCCCCTGATGAATCTCAGGCGCCTCGGAGTCTCCTGGCGAGGCATCCTGCGCCGTGCCACTGTGCTTGTCTCTGGTTTCAGCCGCAGCAGAGTTAATTCTCTTCCTAGGGTCTGGTGCAGCCCTGAGCTTCGCCTTTACTCTGAGAATAACGCTGGTAGCGCACCGATGTTTCAGTGGTTGCTCGGTCCCGCTTACCCCGATCAAGGACTTTTCGGTCCCTCGTGCAGTGCCAGTGAGGAGGGGCACAAGAAGCTGGGAAGGAGCAGAGACAGGACACTGGACGTGAGCTAGCCAAAGGCGTATTCCATACATACCCACTGGAGGCAGTAAAGAAACGGGGGAGTCATCCGGAGGGAGGATCTTTTAATTCACACTGTATCTTCATTGATGGGAAAAGGGACGGAGATGGAAGTACCCGGTTAGAAACTAGCCAAGGAATTCCCTGTTTATTTCCTCTGATCTAAACTTGCAGTTAGTTTGGAAATGAGACTGTTCACCGTAGCTTTAAGATGCTGAAAGATCTGGAGACTGAAATTCTCTCGCCATGAAAGCAGTGAGGTCTGCAGCAGTAGCAGGGGTAGGGCTCATTGCCCTCCTTTCGTTCTGCAAATAGACCTTGCTGTGTTGTGCCCTGGGGGAGCCCGCCCAGCTCATCGCTGCTTTTCTGTCGAGACTGTCAGCGAGGATTTCAGTTGCTGCTGTTGCTCTCCTGGTTTCCCCCGGTTTGGACACCTGCCTTGCTCCAGTAAAGTCATCAGGTTTCTTCATAAATGCTTAGTATTCTAGATGCAGAGACAGCGTTGGGAGGGAGCTGATCCAGCTCTCGTTCTGTGTTGCAAGGTGCTTGTAGCAGGAGACGCATCAAGTTACGAGACTGGGTGGCTTTAGTGCTTCTCTAGTTTATGTCAAGTCATTTCAAGCCTCAGTCTGTTGAGAACAGGCAGAATCTTTATTTGCTCTGCTGCTGATTTGCCCTGGCCATCGAGCTGAAGGCTTTAGATGTGGGAGCAATTGGTCTAAGGCTTGCTCACAGAATTTTCTGCCATCTAAAAACTAAACGGAGTTTCTCTCATTAAAGCTTTACAAATGCCCTTTGAATCCTAGTGCTTTTAATGGATGAGACAGCTGTGGATGGCCCAGTGTGCAGGCTATGCGTACAGCACCCTACAGGATAAAATATGTATGACCTGACTGGTCACTGCGTGTGGCTGAAAATGAGTGTGGTGTCACAGGAGGTTATTTGAGGATGAACTGAAAATGTTTCAGGACTTGTTTCTGGGGAAGTCTCTCGTTCCCAGGTTGTCCTGGTGCTCTGTGGACAGGCTCCTGGCCGTGTGTTGTCTGTGCAAGTGTCCAGCAGGCTCCGTGCTTCGTCACGGAGTCACATCCTGCACTGAGATGACTTTTAGTTACTGTTGTAGCTCAGGCACAGGCCCTCACTAATGGCTGCAGTCACTGTGAGTGCTGGGTTTTGCACATACATTTTTTTGCAGGGAAACGCTTGTGTGGGATTTCTATATTTAAAAATATACACAACTGTTTTGTTTTCCCCTTTGCTTGCCTGTGATGACCAGGAAGAAGAAGAACGCCTGGCAGAGATGGGTAAGGAAGAGAAAGGGGAAGAAACAGGACCAGAAAAACAGTGAGGAAGAGCAGGGAGAAGAGAAGCAGCAGTCTCCAGGTCAGGCAAGAAACTGCCCCTCCCAGAGCAGAGTCCCAGAAAAAGGAGGAAGGCGAGAAGTTGGAGTCTCAGGTGAGTATCCTGCTGAGGGAATGGGTCTTGGATTTTGGTGTCTGAAAAGTTGAATGGTGAGAAATGGTCGCTAGGTTCAGGCAGGCCTCGGTCAGACACAGCAGTGAAGCAGCTATTTATTGAACGTCTGTGCACAAACAGGTGTCCTGGCAAGTAGGCACACACAGCAAAGGCAGAGCTTGGATTTGTATTTCCTATCCCATCCACAAGTTCCCTCCCTTGTTTCCCCACTGGTTGGGTACTCCAAGGTTTACAGCCTCTCCAACACATATAATCTACATGCTAACTGTCCTGCCTCTGTTTACACCTCCCCTTACTCGATTTTGTACGCCCCTTCCTCTAATTTCTCTATTTATCTCCTTTTAGGGTTCAATTTCATATCTCTCTGGCACACACGTGGTACCCCAACTTACTGCTCAACTACAGCAGCAGTTTGCACCAGCTGAGTTTTATAGGTTGTACAAAGATAGCATTCTTTTGAATCACAGAGTGTGTCTGTCACCAGAAGGTGACGTTTTCTTTAAGCACAGAGTATGTCTGTTTAAGTCATGGTATTTCAAACCCTTTGTTTTGTTCCCTTAATAACTTAGCCCCAGCCCCAGTATTGCAAAGTCTTAATATTGCAAAGCCCTGTCCCCGATATTGTGAAGGCAGTGCTCTTTCTCTCACAGAATTTCCTCAGGCAAACTCTTCTTTCCCTGTTTGTCCCCTGAACTGGGAAAAAGCTGGAAAATCCACTGTCCCGAGTTCAGCGGTAGCAGTCTTTTTTTCTCCTTCTTAGTAGCTGGTGCAGTGCTGTGTTTTTGACTTTCAGCCTGGGAACAATGCTGATAACACCAGTGTTTTTAGTTGTTGCTAAGTAATGTTTACTCTGACCAAAGACTTTCTGAGTCTTACGCTCTGCCAGGGAGGAGGGGAAGCTGGGAGGCAGCAGAGACAGGACACCTGACCCAAACTGACCAAAGAGGTATTCCATACCACAGCACGTCATGCCCAGTATATCAGCTGGGGGGTGTTACCCAGAAGGCCCAGATCACTGTTCCGGTCAGGCTGGATATTGGTCAGTGGGTGGTGAGCAATTGTATTGTCTTCCCTTGTTATTCCCCTATGATTATTATTATTGGTGGTAGCAGTACTGGTTTTGTATTTTACCTTAGTTACTGGACTGTGCGTATCTCAACCCGTGGCAGTTACATTCTTTTGATTCTCCTCCCCATCCCTCAGGGAGCAGGGGGAGGAAGAAGGAGGGGGCAAGTGAGAGGCTGCGTGGTTCTGAGTTACCGGCTGGGCTTAAGCCACGACACCTGCAAATCTGTTCCCTTGACTGAGAATGTACTTTTTCTGTTACAGGATCCCAAAGGAAACACAGAAACTGTGAAAGTGGAAGAACCATCCAAAAGGTCCGGTGACAGCACAGTTACTAAAACAGAGGAGGGGAAGAAACACCCAAGAAGCAGAAGATTGTCTGTGAGACCCCTGTGGAACTGGTTGCAAATGATGTGCCTGACCTGCTGGAGGGCAAACTGAAGAGCTTGATGAAAAAGGATGTTTGGAGTGGCTCTGCCGGGTTAAAGCTCCAGGTAAAGGAAGTGAATTGTTTTGGAATTGGTGGTGGCTCACATAGAGCTGCTGTCATCAGAAGCTGATGGTATATGGTGTGCTGTTCAGCTAAAGGCACTTGCAACTTTTGATTTTTGTTCTCTTTACATCCTAGACTCCCAGAATTAATGATCAGAGATCTAGAGAAACAGGAAAGAGAGAAAATCGGCCAGCAGCTTGGAGTCATTCATCTTTGAGACCCACTTAAGAGAGGGATATAAAGAAATGAGAATGCCTGGAGAGCAGGCATTCCCTCATTCCTTGCTATGCCTCCCCATCCAGCCACCTCTCCCTTTTTCCCTTTCTCTCCTGCTCTGTGACCCCTTTTCTCTCTTCCTCCGTCTCTGTCCTCTGGCCCATTTCTGGTTTTAGTTTTTCTCCTTCTTGGTCGCTCCTTACAGAGCTGGCACTTTATTTCTTGAACCCTTTGTCCTCTTTTCTTTTTTTCTCTCTGTCTGCATGTCCTGTGCCTCGCCACTGTCCTTGTCTCTCCCTTTTTCTTCCTCTCCCTCTCCCCTGCCCCCACCCCAGCCTCTTTATGCTCTGGTGCTGCACTCTGTTTTCTTGCTCCATCTCTCACTGACTGTACCAAAGATGGTGAAAAATACTTTTTTGTTCTGCTCAGTCATAGCCTTCACAAAAAAAAAAGGAAGCTTTAGACTCCCGCCCAGCTTGCTGGTAAAGGTTTTTGGGTATTTTTTCGCTTTCCCAGTTGGATGTCAACTGCCACCATTTCACCATGGTCACCCTTTCTTTTGCCGTGGAAGGACAAAGCCGAGGGAGGAATCCATTGTGGTCTGCAACACAAGGTACGTCTGTGACGAGTCTGCACTATTCCTAAGGTGCGTGTAGTATGGTCTTTAAAGATGACATAAAGAACGTGCCCAGTCTCCTCTGTTTTTTTCTTTGAAAGATTTAAAGGCAAATACTCAACATAAGGTCCATTGTGGACCATGTTACACCTCTGCAAAGCTTCTTTTAGTTTTCTCTTCCTGAAAGAAGTGCCTGTGTAGTTAATATTAAATGATAGTGAGAAGATAGTTTTGCACTAAAAGAGGAAACGAACTTATTTGTAAGAGTTCAGCTGTTCAGAAGAAACAGATGTGTGGTTTTCTCATGTTCAGTTTATCATTGACCAACCCCCAGCCCCTTCTCCGCAGGGCTGCTCTGAATCTCTTCTCTGACCAACCTGTAGCTGTGCTTGGGATTGCCCCAACCCAGGTGTAGGACCTTGCACTTGGCTTGGTTGAACTTCATGAGGTTGGCATTGGCCACCTTTCAAGTGTGTCAAGGTCCCTCTGGATGGCATTCCTTCCCTCTAGTTTATCAGCCGAACCACACAGCTTGGTGTCATCACAGACTTGCTGAGGGCACACTCAATCCTGAGTCCATGTCAGCGACAAAGATGTTGAACAAGACTGGACCCAACACCAATCCCTGAGGGACACCACTCATTACTGGTCTGCAGCTGGACACTGAGCCATCAACCACAACTCTTTGCATGTGGCCCCAGCCAGTTCTTTATCCACAGAGTGGTCCATCCATCAAATTGATGTCTCTCCAGTTTAGAGACAAGGATGTCGTGTGGGACAGTGTCAAACGCTTTGCACAAGTCCAGGTGGATGACATCAACTGCTCTACCCCTGTCCATCAGTTCTGTAGCCCCATCATAGAACGCCACCAAATTGGTCAGGCAGGATTTCCCCTTAGTGAAGCCATGCTGGCTGTCACCAAGCACCTTGTTGATTTTCATGTGCCTTAGCATGCCTGCCAGGAGAATCTGCTGCAAGATTTTGCCAGACGCAGAGGTGAGACTGCTCTGTAGTTCCCTGCGTCATCCATTTTTCCCTTCTTGAAAATGGGGGTTATATTTCCCTTTTTCCAGCTGTTGGAAACTTCAGCTGACTGCTGTGATTTTTCAAATATGTCACCTTTGTGCTGCACAGTTTCATGAGCCAGATGCAGAGGATGGCAGAAGAACTCACTGTAAAGGATTCACTGGCCGCAAGCGAAGGCTGTTAGTCAGTGAGGCTTGCCGTTTGTTGTTGGTCAGGATGTCCTGTGGTCCGTTTGTCTCACTTTTTCATGTCTTAGCATGTGACACTTGCCTGCTAAGTTGTGACTCCAGCTGAGACATATATAGGTTTCAGTCAGTTGGGACTAATTAATTGTGCCTTCCCCTTATCTGAGAATGTCTCATACCGCAATGAGAACTGGAGAGTATGCTCCAGGCAGGTTGGCTCTGCCAGGGGACTGACAACCACACTGCCCAAAGAGAAGGTTGTCCAGGGAAACACTCCACGTATCTGCACTGTAAGTGCCTATCTTGATGGACTTCAACTAGATCTTAAAAATACAAATTTTTTATTTTATTTTTAACCCAAAGGAATGTGCCTTAAGTGGCTTTGGGCCAAAGTTATGCAGTTCATCACTCTCAGAGCTTGTGGCTATTAGAAAGGAAACCAGCAGATGGAGGTGGGTAGCAGTGCCAGTCTTTCACTATATGGGTAGTAAATATGCTGGCAAAGATTAGGTTCTGCACTGGGCCTCTACCACCATCATTACAGGGCTGTGGTACCCACAAAGGAAAATACTTCAGCGCTGTGGAGCTTCATCACTCTTATTTCTACAAGGGTTTAATTCTCATTTCTCTCCATCTGGTGCACATGGGATCTTGGTTCTTACATGCACTGAAAAATACATAATCAAGTTCCTGCAGCCACAGCAGGGGAGGTGGACATGGCAGTGACAGGAACAGGGACATGCTCTTCTTTCCTTCTTTGCTCTATCTGTACATTCTCTAACTTCTCCCTGCTGACCCTCTTACTAATATGGCATGAGCTGGCAGAAGGCATCCCAGCACCAGACATGTAAGCATCAGTTTTCCATCCTGACGTTCCTTCTTTCTCAGGGAGTCAAGGAAGCTTTTGGCATCTTCTGTGTAATTACTTCACAGCCCTTTCCAGGTTTTACTGCTGGATCTCAAAGTTACTAAACAGGGTTGAGATACACTGTGCTGAGCCTTTGGAAGTAGGATGCAGGCAGCTCTTGGTGTATTAAGCAGATTGGGAGATCATGTGGAAGGGAAGAACTGGATAACCCATGCACAAGTTGAAGCATGGTCTTGAATTTGCTTCAGTGGAAAACCACTGGGTATTTACTGCCTGTAAAATACAAACTGACTTTATTAAATGCTCCTCATGAAAGGAACTGGCAATGGAGGAGGGAATTTGTTTATCACCTGCATGTAGAAACAGGGTTTACTGAAGGCACTTCGCATAATCAGGGATAATGGGAGAAAAACAGAACCAGGAGATCTAACGATAGCATAAGGATCATCCAAGTGCCCTGGGATGAAATGTAGCAGCTGTTTTGACACTGCTGCTACAGAACAGTTTCAGACAGTAAGTGAAAAACACTGTATCCAGTAGGAATAGTCAGGGAAGGGAACTAGACAAATATAATTATGGAGATGGAAAATTAGCCCAGTGATTGTGCTTAACATGTTTTCTTTTGCAAAACATGCTGAAAGATCTCCAAGGGAATAACCTGACTGAGCCACTGCATTTCCAGCAATGCTGCTTTTCCAGTTCAAGGGGGCAGGGGGAAAACACCATTTTCCAACAATTGATGGAAAGGAACATACATCCTTTGTGAATTCACATATACTGTGAATATTTGAATTTCTGTCTTAACTAGGAACTGAACTGATGTCCTAGATGGAAAATCCCCTAATCTTAGAGGAGCCTATAATACACAGCTGGATTACAAAACTGCAGCTGTGCATGAATAACCCTACCTCTTCCTGTATTTTTAATCTGTATTGGATTATATTTTGCAGAACAAAGTGGAACATGAAGTAACCTCTTGAAGCTTTCATATTGCAGTGAATTTCATTACAACCTTCCTGCTTTCTTATAATGACCCTGCCTAATGCTTGACTGCATTTACTGTTGCCCTCAACCACTTTCAGCAGTTGCCTCAAGATGTAAACACCTTCATATATTGATGCAAAGCCATTAGATTATGAAAACAGAGGTCACTGCAAAGGGTACAATCAGCTGCTGGTCTCAGCTCTGAAAGCTCTATCCTCCATTAGTGAGTGTTCAGGGAAAGTTAACTTTCTTCTCTTTAGAAGTTATCTGTGAGCCTGTTTTTCCTTTAAGGATAGGCCAAATACAAGATAGAATCATAGAATAGTTAGGGTTGGAAAGGACCTTAAGATCATCCAGTTCCAACCCCCCTGCCATGGGCAGGGACACCTCCTACTAAACCATCTCACCCAAGGCTTTGTCCAGCCTGGCGTTGAACACTGTCAGGGATGGAACATTCACAACTTCCCTGGGCAACCCATTCTAGTGCCTCACCACCCTTACAGGAAAGAATTTCTTCCTTAAGTTATTAATGATGAAGTATGAAAGACCTGTGCCTATGTATAGGACAAGCAATCAGTGTTTGCCAGGGAGATACTTTCTGATGGGGTGGGGATGAGGGACAGGCAGTTGTTTTCATCAGCCAGCCACGCTGAGCATTCCCAGCTTGATCCCCAGCACTGAAGAATTCTTCTGAATCTTGCATGTATGAAATCCAGATGCAAGCCATGATCTGGTGTTTATCAGTCAGCTTGGGACTGAGGACCACTCTTCCCACTTCCCACTATACAGGTCTTCACTGTGCTTGTCACAGTTTCAGCTGCTCATCCTGTTAAAATTGATCCTTTGATAGCTCTTGAAAGTATAGAGCTGTGTTCAATGCTTGCTATTCTGCTATAGAACAGACATTTGGTAGTGATCAAAAAGCTGCTAGGAATGTTTAGAAGAGGAAGAAACAATGAAACAGATACCATTATTCTCACAACAAAAGCAATGCTGTGGTAACACCTTTATTACCATGGTCCTGCCCCATGTTAGAAAAAGGCTATAAAATAGAAAAGGTAAAGAAAGTGAGGACACCTGGTTTGTTTAATTGTTCCTTAGACAAAGTGTTCAGCTATCCTCTGTTTCTAGAACAGAAGATAGGAAATGAAGCTAGAAAATACGGGATTTAAAACGGACAAAAGTGGTGTCAAAAATTGCTTTCATGCAATGCATGGTGAAGCCATAATGAGATGAAAAGTTTAAATAGATTCAGAAATTGATTCAGCACATCCATGAAAGAAAAATCCACCAAAGGATTTTTAGCACAACAGTACCATTTTTGGCTA